GCTCTGGCGTGCCAAAGAAACCCAGATAGATGGAGTCAAGAGGGCGAAGAAGAAAATACGCCACAACAATATTATCATAGTCACGTTGCTTGAAGTGGTCTGACGAGAGGACGGGCGTGCAGACGATAAAGAACGCGCATCCATCCCAGGGTGTGGGTACTACTGCTGTAGGTCGACATATATTATGTGCGTGTGCGTGGTGTGTGTCCCTCCTCGCCGTTTCTAAGCTCTTCTTGGTGCTGCTGCGTGCTGGTGATCGACGCTCAGTGTCGTTGAAGTTGCGGAACTCGGTACACATAGAGACCAGAGTAATCTCTGCTGGTTCTATCCTGCTGTGGACGTGTGGTATGCGCCAGTTGCACCTCTCAGGCTCCCTGATGTGTGTTGGTCTGTGAACTGGTGATGCAGTGCCGAAGCAAGCGGCGTAATGGCCCGATTTACTCGAAAATAGACAAGGCGCAAAGTAGGCGCCAAGTTAGATGGAGACAACTGCTTGGCGGGCGCCAAGTCAAATCAGTCCCGGTGGCTTGTTTTGCTGCCGACAGACGTGGTGCAGAGATCTTCCTCTTTATTTCCGGCGTGTAGTCTGGAGGGATCACTTAAGCCCATCTTGCGGTGGTAAATTGGGAAGAACCCTCGAAGCATTCATTCCGAGACGAACAAGTCTTCTTCGCAAAAAGTACACAACTTCTGTGCATAAACAGGAAGACGTTTGATTCCTGCGCAACGCAAACATGTTCCCACTGGTTCCCACAACCCACGAGAAACACGGTACATGTATACGTACCAAGTACCTGGTACAAGAGCTAGCGGTCAAACGCAATGGGTTACAGGTGCACGATCTGGGGACGCCGCTAGCCGGAAATCACACATTAGTCACGCGGCGATAGGCATGTGGCACGGGCGTAGTGTTTTGAGGATGACCCGAACCATCCTATTTTGAAGAAAAGTTGAGCCGCCGGTCTTAGTGCATACAAGGGGGGAGTGGGCCCGGCCCAAAAGTACTTTGCATGGTAATAATGCACCCGCACCACAAAGTCTGCATGCAACCGCACCACAAAATCTGTATGTGTCGCTGTATTTTCGATCCTGACTCCCCAGCACACGACCGATTGACTCCCGATACACTTCAGGCGGCATTCTTTCATCCGCTGAAAGTCCTTGCGTTATCAGCCACGACAACCCCCCCTGCCCTTCGCTTCCTTGAAGCGGATCAATACTACTGTATCATCCGTGACGTTTCCTTGGATGCTAGATATCGTCTGCAAAAAAAGTCTAGCTCCACTACACGACGTACTGCCGCACGATCAGGGTTCGACAGGACGACTTGGGCTCCGAAGACTTGAATATGCTGACCATATTGATTTCGCCAGCCTGCGTACACGATGGTCGCTGTTCCTCGTCAGGGATGTTACCTCCACTACTATCTCTTTCTACCTCCCCTGCTTCCATGAGGGAAGCTCCTTTGAGCGTTGGAGTCAAATCATCACATGTGCCCAGTCGGCCCATGACTGACCAGCAGGGTTTTCAAACGTGTCTTTCGTGATGACCTCCTCGGGCGTGTGTGTGGGTGTTGTTGTGCCATCACATACATCTCTACCATACAAACAAGTGGCATTCCTACCCATCGGCCCTTTTATACGTTAGTTTGCCTAATCCCGACCGCCATGTTGCCATTTTCTGTCACACAGCGGGGAATTCGTCTACCTCATAGTCTTATGGGAAGGTGCCGCGGTTGGACCCAGCGGGACGAACCATGTCGGAAGCCGGCGGGGGATCATGACTACTGCTACCTCCACGAGGATCAGGAACCCTGCTACCGTCACGCTCATCAGGAGTACAACTACGGTTTCGACCACGCCGACTATATCTATGGTGGGTGTGCGCCTGCTAGATTTCGAAGCGAAATTGCGCAGCGTGATGTAGTGGGGGCTTTTTTTCTACAGAGAGGGAGACCTAGAGAGAGAGAGGGAGAGAGAGGAGGTCAAAAGTGTCATCACAATCATGAAGTCGACGCGCTTCGTCCGTGCAGCACACCTTGCTTCGAAACCAGTTGAGGGAAGTTCGCCATGTTTGCTTATCTTAAGGAAACTTCGGATCGTCGCGAATGCTTGCGAAGCAGAGGGTGCAGTGCCCACCTCAAACCACTAAATAGGGGGGGGTAATGAGCCGCGGGTGACGACTCAATAGCTTGCAGTAGTCTATCTGCGACGTTGTACAAGGTGCGAGACGCTGCTTCCCAGGCAGCAACGCAGCAACTCACAGCACGCACAATTTATTAGTTGCGGAATAACATTCAAACGGATCTTCCACGACCTTGTACCCGCTCCCGCTGGAAGTTTATTGAAAATATTACTCCAAATCAACAGCGGAGGAACACGCACACACATGCTCGCCTCCGCTATTGTACACAATAGAGGTACCTCCAACGATCGGCACCTAACAGTACTGACACAGACACAAATGAACATTGGCAGCTTACAGGAATGCACCTGTAGTGCTGCTGCTTTGCTGTAATGGCAATGACTCCCATCTATCTTACATATTCGTCAGTCATGCATGCGGGAAAAACGCCATGGCGCTGGGCACCAAAAAAGGCTATATTCTTTTTTACCCCTTGGGCAGCGCAGTTTTGCTTCCGGATGACCCCTCCCGGCACACCAAAGCTACAGCAATAACAAAGCCGCCACGGGCTGTGTCCATGCTCCGTCTTGTGTGGAGATTAACACCGACAAGGAGGCTGTAGTACGCTCAGAACCGCGAGCATATTGCCCAGACTGCAAAAGAAAAAACGCCGCGTCTGTCTGCTGGGATGATCAGTTAGTACTTTTATTGCCCCAGGCGCAAATGATTTCGTTTTCCGATGATCCCTCTCCCCACACCCTAAAGCGACAGCAATGACGATGATATCCGCCACGAGCTGTGTGTATGACTCCCTTCCCTCGCCAGTGCGGTCTTGTCCCTCCCAGCGGTGTTGCGTGTTTACCGTAATAGTCGGAGAGATGGCACCGGGTGCGATCGTTTTTATAATGTTTGTTCCCCGGGTTTTTTATCGCACCCCGGTGCCATCTGTCCGACCGGTGCTATCTCTCTGACCTCGGTGCGGATGCAATGAAATCATTTGGTTTAGTTTTTCAAGGCACCCCGGTGCGATCTCTCCGACCGGTGCCATCCCCGATGAAAAAGACACAGGTGTTGTATGCACGCACCTCGGTGCCATGTCCCCGACCGGTACCATAATTGTAGGCATACCCACGCCCACACACAGTCTTCTGCACACGCTAAATAGTTGACAATTCTACAGTATAGAACCACACATGTAGGTACCGTTGTTGCTGGTTGGAAGCACACCGGTAACGGCAACGTAGGCTGGTACGTAACAGCTTTCCATGCGGCGAGTGGTCTTGGGTGTTTGAAGGCGAGTTTGGCTATGGCGTGACAAGGAAAACAACCGATGTGGTTTCCATCTGAGGCACCGGTACATACGGTATCAGGCTGTCTTTCCGCTTTCGGTTCGGTCTTCCCGGATACCCACCCCTCGGGGCCAGTTTATTTGAGTGTACCTTTTTAGGGTAAGTTAACCTGTGACCACGGGAATCGACCCCGTCGAGTGTTGGATCAGTACGGACATACGAAGGTTCTGGGTAGAGAGAGATCGGAACGGTTTTCAATGTGAAAACAACAACAACAACAACAACAACAACAACAACCCACTACGTACGCAGCAGTACAATAGATTCATGTTGTGTAAGGTGGGGTAGGGTGCGGCTTGTACCTTGTGTTGTTGTGCAAAAGGTACGCACAAGTACCTCATTCCGGCAGTTGAAAAGGAGCTCAATCTCGGATTTAGGGGTCGGTGAG